TTTTTTTTTTTTAAAGTAGGAGATTTTAGCGCCATAGGGAAAACCTAATTTTGTTGAAGTTGATTTAGCAGATGGCAGCTGCTCCTCTTCAGACTGTTTTTCTTTTTTTTGTGTGTGTGTTGCACTATCCTTCGAGCACCAAAGAAAATAGTCGACAACTTGCAGCACGGCCACAACTGGAGTGGCATTCATGCATCTCTGTGGGGGAGACTAACTCACTATCAATACAATAGAATCACCTCTGTTTTCTTAACCGTTTTTCTATGCAAATGCTGCCGAAAATCCCAGAAGACTGCAGCGACCGTACAGTGTGAAGTAACAAAGGGCTCTGATTGAGAGACGTGCCAACTTCCTGAAGCCGGATGGGACACTCACTGCATCTTTCTGTCAAATCCTGCAACGCTGCTTACAGAGATCAAAATGTTCCAGGAAGTTCAAAGTGAACGAGCCTGGCAGATATGGCGCTGCCTCTTAATGAGGCTTGCCTTTAACCTCCTTAATGACAGCAGGGAGAAGGCTGCTCACAGGAGGCTTCACTGAGGCCACATTAACAAGCATTGGCTGTTCTTTGGCCCGATGGCTGCAGGAAACTTTTGCTTTATTATGCAAGAGAAAGCTTTTGAGAATAAAAGAATAAAATAAAAATCACATTTAGCTGCAAAGCATTTGTTTGAATGTTTGCTGTGCAGAGCGGAGCGGGGGAGTCTGTTTCTCATGACAAAACTGAGATGCTTTGATGAAGCCTGGAGCGGAATAAATAACCAAATGGCTCGTTATGAAAGTTATAGAGACAGTTTTTAAAATTGAAAAACTTTTCATACGATGCCATTGGCCTGACTACCTCCTTAGCTCTTCCATGTCCGCGTGATGGGTCGTAACATGTAAACATGTTCACTATGTTTCACTGGTGCTCCCCATGCAGCAGCACAGATGGGGGGGGGGGGGGGGCTAATGGCAAAACTAGGCCAAAATGAGTGCACAGGCATGCACACACACTGATTCACATCACGACACCCGTGCCAACTGAAATAGACACAACTACGGGACGAGGGGATCTCTGTGACCCGACTGCCTAATGAATGTGGACAAGCTCTAGACGGGGCTCCTTCTGATCCTCACAACCTCTCAGCATGAAAAGAAAAAGAGCACAATCCCACCATCTGGTTACGGACCACCCAGCCAACACCGACTGAGAAACCGATGCTGAAACAGAAGCTCCATGCCACCTCTAAATCAAGCAGATAATGATACGGGCTTTAATGACCTCTGTAGCTTTCCCCTTCACGCATTTATAGAAAGACACAATGTGTCTCAATCACCGCAAAGTGCTCTGATTGAACAGGTAGTCATGGGATGCATCTGTTCAACAGCTAATGCTGAAACACTGTGTGCAGGCACGCCAGGTGTTGCCTAGGCACCTTTTCCTGTCTGACAAATAATCAACAAGAGTAAGAAATTTTCCAAACTGTAGCAGCAGAAACTCCCTCTGAGCAGAAATAATTACTCATAGTTGTAATTGTCTGTATAACACATCAATTTACTGTAGAAATGAGTCATGTTATTTAAAGCCACTTTTATCTACAGCAACAGTCAAAGACAGGGACATCATTGTGCCTCCCTGGCTTACTGTTAATCTATTCAAATAGTTTTAATGACAAAGCACACGTAGCATAAGCAGAAGAGAGATCGGAGAGCAGGTTAGGCGTGACGGGATGTTATAGATATTAAAACAGGGAATCAATCTGAAGTTAGAATAATGTTTAAGCCCCTCAAATTTTAAGAAGCATATCCTCAAACACAAATTATGATGCCGAGGCTGTTATACCCCCGTCTACACCCAGACACACGGCACAGATGAAACGGGGCCGGACAAACTTCTCATAAACTCAGACTGTTTCAACCAAATCTTTCCAGCAGATGATTCTGGTCTAGTTTGGTTGTTGACTCCCACCACAGAGACTTTATTTGTCTGAATACCGCATGGAAAAGCAGCTCCCCATCCAATAACAATAACACGTCTGAGACGGCCTTTAAACCAGTTTTCTAAAGCTGACAACGCGGCAGTGTGAGTAAGAGGCAAATGAGGACAGAAATAGCCATATCTGAGCACAGCGCATGACTGCATCCATTTCTGTGCCACATTTAGAACGGGACTTCAAAAAGAAGCAAAAACTGGGTGACAAACGCACCCCGTCACAACAAACACGGGTGGAGAGAAGCGCAGGTTAGTCTGACAGCGGCAAAATCAAACGACAGATGGAATGCTTTCGATTTATCCATCTATCTTTTAAATAACCGCATTGCGTAAAAGTTTATATCTTATTCCAAACTGGATCGTTCAATTAGCTTAATTGGAAATAAGCAAAACGGGTATGTCTTTCTAGACTAAAATGATCTCAGGAGTATCCAGCCATTGATATTTCTCTAACTGTAAAACAAACAAACACTCCTACTGTAGGTCTCCGGACAAACGCTGAGTCAGCTCTCACCAATTGACTGTGACGCAGAGCTGCGTCAGGCTAACGCTGTGAAATACACAACATTCATAGTGCTGAATAGAGGAAACACTCACTGGCTGCACACTCGTGAACCCTTCTTGTTTAGCGATGGTCAGGTCGAGTTATTCAACAAAAAAAGGGGCAAGCGTGTGTGCAGTAAACGTGCCGAATCAGCCATTTGATGGTTAAGCTGTCACAGGAGTGGACTTGGCCTGTACTTTGGAAAGTGGCATGGAAGAGCCCAAGGAGGCAAAGAAGGTTAACCGACAACAGCTTTTCTGAGTGGGTAAGTTTTTCATTTGGTGCAACAGAGGCTGAGGCCTGGCTTCCAAAAGATACCAGCTGAATCTGGGGATCAGTCTGACCAACTATAGCATCTGCCAACAGGATGAGCAAGTAACTATCTGCTGATCTCACATCCAACAGGCTCCAGTGTAGCTCTCTAGATTTCTTTCCTATTCCTGAGTTCCATAAAAGAGATCCCCTTGCTGAGACGATTCAATTTGTTTGTTTTTATCTTTATCTTCCAAGAATGTAATTAAAAGAAGGAAACGAAAATAAAAGCCCATCAGATTTTCAGAAAACGAGGGTGGATAAACAGTTTTTGTAAGTCATTCCCACTAAACAGGCTACTAATGGGTAGCTGCACGATAGACTTAACAAGTGGCCGGTCAGTGATAAGGTTAAGTGTCACCACAGAGTTCATTAGAACTCAGTCAATACAGAGGCAAAGTCAAGTGGTATTAGAGACTTATTGGAGGGAGCAGTCAATGTAGGCCCTTTAAGCTGCTTTCCTTCATGATTGCTCAACGCTTGCACCAGGTTGCCACACTAATAAGCCCAAACCTCTCCATCCGGCAAAAAATGTTGAAAATGTTCTGACATTCCTCTTTATTGTTACTAAATTACAAATACCCGGAGGCTGGTCGCGGGGGAAGGAAAACCAAAACAAAAAGTTTAATGAACCAAGAAATGTAGTTTCCACAGTGTTTGTGTCGAGCCTTAGAGTTAAACCCCCACTAAAACTTCCCATTGTTTTCTCTATTAATCACAGCCGCACGTATGTGGATAAATATGCCCAGCTCTTGATCTAAGATTTTGCTTTTCTTTCACAAAATAACCAATTTTTCTAAATTACAGAGTGTTGAACACAGAAAATGACACAGCTTGTGTTATCATAGAAAAATACGGGTAATTTCATGGGCTCGGAGTTTCACTTTTGGCGTTGGCTGTTTGTTTTGGATTCAGGCGGCTGCTCTTGAGGCCACCACACATCATTTAGGTTTCATCCCATAATACTTGTTTTGCCCTCTTGCCGTCACATGCTGTATCGCTCTGGAGAAGGCCAGCAAACACAGATGTGGATGAGACGTGCTTTGGTCGTTTAATTTGTGAGTGTAAACCTGTCAGTTTAACAAAACTCACGACACACAGAAACTCGAGCTGAAGATTTTGTCAACGGCTGTAACAAAATTCAAGACTAATGTGTCTGCTCTTGCGGCCAAACCTAAATACTAACATATTAGTTACAACTCTTTTGTTTATTCTAACAAGAGCAAAGGCCCTGGGGAAGAAAACCGGGCCCTGGTGCGATTCCAACGTTCAGCATGGCTTCGGCATTTTAATGATGGCAGACGTGATGTCAGATAATGGGAACACACCCGTGCCAGTCTACTCTGTGGCTCGTCTTTGCAGAACAGTGCGTGGGCGGTACTGTGCAAATTCTAAGCTTGATGCCTCCATCAATTCATTGCAAGAAGTTCTTCCATGGATTTAAACTTTTAATCAATGTTGTAATAGTTGATTAAACTCAAATCACCTGCATTTTATGTAATAAATACCACAAAATAATATGCAATATTTTCAGAAGTGGGAGTTTTTTTATTCAATTTCTTTATTAACAATAAATACAAAAATAAGTAAGTAAATTACGTGTTTGGCTTCTCTGGGGATTCAGGTCCTGGTTGCAGGTAAATATACCAAAATAGTTTTTGGAATCAAAGTTCTGGAAACTTTACACCAGAGGAGAAAATGGAAAGATATGAGCTTTAGGTCAAATAAAACCCAAAGTGAGAGAAATACCTAATGAATTGCCTCTAGGAATGTTCCCTCTCTCAAAGGAGAGAGGGAGGCAGGAGAGGCAGGTGTTCAGAAGAATGAGTTGAACCATTGCCTATTTCTAGTAAAACTTCTCTTTTCTCGCCATCATTTTCACACAGATTAAAAATTCTATCTGAAACCCTAGCAAAGCCACACGGGTGGCAGTAAATGAGATGGGAGGAAGTTATAGCCCCATGCGGTAGCTGTGGTGGGGTTTAAAAAAAAAAAACATGTTTCAGTCAGTCGGTTAAAGAGAGCAGGGTTACCGGCACATCCGAGTAGAGCCAACGCTGCGAGTAACCGTGCTCCTTTTAACCGAACCATCGCTCTGGGAAGCTCAATTCCGAAAGACTTCTCCTTGCATTTCAAAAGTCGTGTTCCATTTGTTGTTGTTTTTTTTGCTCCCCCATGTGCCACCCGGTTACAGATACTCACTCATCTGTCGGTCTCCGTAGCTAATAGCCTCAGCTAAGGGGCTCCATCCCTGAGCGTTCTTCACCTTCACAGGGGCGTTGTGGGCCAGCAGCAAATGAGCACACTCTGCAAGAAGGACAGTTTCTTTCAGAACAGTGATAAATAAATAAATAAAAACTGATTTACAGGGGGGAAAAATGGTTTAAAATGTTTAGAAACACAAAAAGACTGACTAGACAACCATCACCATTTCATATGAACCCTTTCCCAGCATATTTTATGTTCCTGTGTTTTTAACAGTTCTGTGTTCTAATATGTGAGAAGTTGATTATTATATCTGGAGCAAATAAACTTAAATAAATCTTAACTTGTTCAAAGTTGAGGTTTATCTTACTGATCTCACCTACTGTGATGTTGTTTAATGCAGTTGCAGGCTGAGCTGCACGCCACTGACACCTTTGTCATAAATGAGAGACGCTTTGAGTGAGAAGTCAGCAATTCCTAACATAATCCTGGCTTGAATAGGATTTATGGAGGATTTATATGACAACTGACCCAGTCGCCAATGAGCCTTGTGGGACTTTAGTTACGCAAAATGCAACATTCTCAACTAAACGGTCACAGAAGCTGAGGAATAAGAAGTCAAATGTCACAGAAAAACACTCCCTAATACTCTGTCGAGGTGACCTAAAAGCTTGCTTGAATTCCAACTACTGGAAAACAGCCAATGAGTCTCTCCCTTTTCCTATGGGGAGATCTGCACGCAGCGCCGCACAAAAATGCCTCAACTCTCAGGGCGGCTTGTCCACAAACGAACCGCCAGCCAAAAATCGAGCCCGCTGTTCGGGCTCAGCTGTCAGTTTTGTTGTGACATCATTCATTAAAACGCTGGCAGCTGGACAGCTCCGGCTCAGCACGGGCGGGAGCGCTGAGCACGGGGAGCAGCACAATGCACAAATCCCACCTAAAGGCTCAGTGTTGACAGTCTGCTCCTGACAGGATGTGCCACGCTCACCGCTGACGGGGCTGTGACTTATCCCTAAGTTGTTTGGCCAGACTTTTCATGAACCGTAAAGGATCTAATTCAAAATAATTCCTGGCCTCTTGTTCAGACCTGCTCCTCTGTTACACGTCATTATGGATCATGTGAACAAACCGGTTATAACCTCAGTGAGGACTTCTGCCTTTTGATGGTAACATGCTGTTACAATGCTACATGAACTACCTACATACTCACCATGTTTTATTAAAGAGAGAGAGCCCGGGGTCTCATACATTCTTAATGAAAGAGAAAAAGTCATCTTGAAGATTCTCCTAATTAAACGTGTGCACACAGCAGTTACCTAAAGCATTTATGAAAAATAAAAGCCGAAAAGGAATGTCGTGAAAGCAGCCAAAACAACTACGCTCAAGAGTAATAGTAGGTGGCCTCATCGGTTGATTTCCAGAGAGAAAATATAAAAAGCTGCCCACGTGAATGCATCATGTTAACCCCAATCACTCTGACGAGACCCGTGTTTACAGATATAATCATTTTGGGATATTGATATAGAGATGCGTCTCCCTTGGAAACACAGCGGTGGAGTGAATAGCAAACAGCTCAACGTCAACAACCTGGCAAACCTCTGTGTTAAAGCATTAGTCGGACTTGTGACTGGGCAGGGGGATGGTAACAGCTGGTAAAAGAGGCCACAGGCCAACAAATGCACTCTAGCTTCCTGATGTAAGCCTCACATTCCCTCAGGCCTTTGACCTCTCCATCACTCTGCTAAATCTGATGATTGTGTAACAATAACAACAACATTTAGCTGATGTACAGAAACATGGGATGAGCGAGCAGTCCCTTCTGTCCCGGGCTGAACACCTTCTGGTTTCTAGACCGGCTTTAGGCGTTTTAAGCCGTTTGTCCGACTTTCTGGATTCAAATACAGGTCGCATGGAAAGCAAAAAGAAAGTCTCTTTTAAGTCATTTCAAGTCAGACTCGGTTGGTTTTCGGTGCTCTTACTTGCAGTTGCGTGGCAACTGCATCACAGGGAGACAATACTTTGATGTGAGTGAGCATTAAGTCAAAACAAACAGCTGCATTGGCTACCGTCATACAGTATAACCTGTTTAAAACCTGTATTTTTTTGACAAATTAGAACATTTAGACAAACAACTGGATGCATTTAATCAATCATAGGTACCCAGGTTGGAATTGAGTCAATTCAGTTCAAGCTTAAGTTTTGGCATCTATTAAAATCATGAAGTAACAAAATACCAAGGCAACAACGTTTTTCATCACAAACTAACTCAATAAAATGTGGGTAATCTCTTTCAGAGAAGTCACTATTTGAGCTGTACAATTTGGTGTTTTGCAACAAGGTTCTATCTTTTTCAGGTAGAAAACTATCTGCCCGAGTTAACTTTCCCCAGAGCCGCCAAGTTATCAGCAATGGTTTGTAGTCCAATTTAGTCCAATACAATCAAAAGCATGGACAAAAGAAACTCCCTCTGTGGATGGGCTAACCCCATGGGCCACAGCTGTATGAAGGATCCTCTTCATTCAAACAAAACACCCTTGCGGATGGATTAAAGGAGCAGGATGGACAGTTATGATATATCTAAAAGACTACAGATATAGTTCCTGTTAACTGAATTACAGAAACAACAAACAAAATACTATCACACTGCCTAAGAAGCTTTTTTTTACTACCAAATGCAGACACCACACAGGGAGAATGGTTCATGCAGAAGCCCCCTTACATCTCGGGAAAAAACATCAGCTGTCTGTTCTATGATGTTCCAACACAAGCTTCCCATCCACCACTTAAATTTTCCACCACTCAGGTTTTTCAGACTGCACTATGCATATCAGGAGCTGTGACTTCCCGGATTAGAAAATAATGAACTCATGCACACACATAAAGCCATAAACAAAGAGAAGCTTGTTCTCTGCATCCCAGCAGGACAGCCCCACCCAGACTGTGATCTCATACTGTAGCCTGTCTCGCCGGAGCATCCCGGAGGAGCAAACAACTCTGGCAACCTCATTAGCACAATCAATGCCATGGTGTTCAATCCGCCACAACACTTTGTCACTCGGCTGGCTGGGTAACCGATAGGTAGTGGCAGGGCCCTCATGCCAGTGACAGGAATTGACCTTTGTGAATGTGAAATCAATTGAAACCTGTGCTCCAAAGGCAGCCGCTAAACAAATGGGACTGTGCACGACTAAGTGCTGCAAGCCAAAGCTGAACAAAAAAAAAAAGCAATCAATATTTCAAAAGCATGTTCTGATGTCTGCATTTGATATCAAATGTACGCATCGAAACACAGAGGCACTCTTTTAATTTTTTATGGGCATGCCTACAATCCAGCCGGGGCATTATAGCTGAAAACGCAGCACTTCAAGCCTCCCACAAAGCCTCAAAATTTGATTCATTAAGGCAGAGTTTCTGAATTTCAGGAGGGAAATTGCAGGATGTGCCAAACACTAATGTTTCCGACTGGCGAGAGAGAAGAGATTTGACAAACGTTATTTAATAACTATCTGAACTCTTTACCCACTCCCCTAGCTTTAAGGTAGTAGCCATTGGGCCGGTTTTATTTCCTCATTGATTGACTATCTGGAGAAAAGCATAACATAAAATATTGGAGAAAAAGCATAACATAGTCCTCTTCAGCTCTGATCTCAACCGGGGAAAATGAACAAAACATGCTCATTCTTGCATGAGCACTTCCGCTTCTGGGATTCGAGTGGTGACCTGTGACAAGGGTTTTCGGTGCACTAATTCACACGCAAGAGACAAAAAAAAACACAGACAAGCGTGTAAAAACCCACACATAAATGCCACATAGCTGTAACCATTTTAAGACTGCTCACCTTTGTGTCCCATCATGACGGCAAGATGTAATGGTGTGTTTCCTGAAAAAGGGGAGAAATCAGACTTTTACACTGGTTTTGAATACATCAGCAGAGAGCACAGACTGTGACAAGCGCTTTGCCTTTTGGACTGTCACAGTTAGGGTGGGTTAGACATTCAAATTGGGAGGCAGAATCCACCAAACTGCAAATGATGTGGTAAGGGATGCCTATTGTGAGTTTTCTTACAAGGATAGGCGAGCAACACAAATACATGTCAATAAAAAGAGACAGTGACATGGCTTGTTAACAGGCATAATGCCTACACAGCAAAGGGAGATTGACATGCCACAAACCCATTCAGGGGAAATATTTTTCAGGTGTGGCGTGTTAAGACTGAAATGTTTGTTCCTGGATATAAAATGTGCCTCATAAGCAGCAACGAATCCTTTCAGTGAAATCCAAACTGCTCGTTCAGCTTCTTCAGGCTTCCTTTCAAGGAAATAAATGGACACGCATCCACACAAAGAAATGCCTGCACAGTGGAGGAAAATACAAGCTGGGGTTGTCCCACAGGACCATTAGTTATAGGGCAAAGAAGCAGAGAAGCTTTTCTTTTCAGGCAAACGTGTTGAACTACTAATCAAAGGTTTAATGACGGCTTAACCTTCAATTCACCAGAACCAAAAAGAGAATCTAAAAGAAATACATACGCTGACAGATTGGGTTTGATAAGCTACAATTATAAGTTAAGAAATTGGGATTTTTGCTGCTGTGCAGACCAAATAAATTAAACTTTTTAGACACAAAAGATGCTTTAAAACATTCAATGGGGAAAGAACCACATTCAAATGATTCCATTGTATGAAAAGCAATCGGTGTAAAAACACAATATCAATTAAATACTGAATAATTATCTCTGTAATAAACATGCTTTTCATTAGGATTTATAGAAAAGCCAAGAATCACATCATCAACCCTCTGAATCACAGTCACAAACAATGGTCTAATAAGCATATTACGTCACAAAATGTGGTTTAACAACATTTAAGTTGTTGTAAAGAATAAAACGAGCTTATCTCAGTGACCTGCCAGTTCAGCTTTCTGCGTCATTAGAAACGTGAGTAATATGGGAATGTAAGTTAGTCACTGAACAACAGCAAGTTACAACAGGGTGGGAAAGTCTCTAACTTGAACAGGTTCAAGTTCCACAACACCCTGTCTGACACCCTACTGGATTACGCCATGTGAAGCTCATGAAGACGGAGCACATTCCAGCGGCAGCACTACGCACAAGTGCTGGCCAACGTTGGTCCTTACGAGAGCCAGAACAAAGAAATCATGTTGCCGTCAGTCCAGGAAGGGTTCATTTGGAAACTGTGGTGTTGTCGGAGCAGACTTTGCCCTGCAGAAGATCTGCTATCAGGTTCCCAAAGTCCCACACACAAAGCATAAATTCATCATTTATAAGCCGGGCACCATCTTATCATCTAGTGTTTATTCAACTAGTTTATCATGGATAGTTTTTGGAACTATTTCTGATACTATCTGCCACTCATATACTCTGAGGGACTACTGTGTCCTATCAGGGAGAGGATCTTTAGCTATCTTTATTTCTAATTGAGAGGCGAAACTGTGGTAGAATTGAACAATCCATTAGTTTGGACATCTGATCTCCAGGCCTTGCTGACAGAAGCCTCGCCTCCATCCAATGCTGATGGAGACTGATGGCCTATAAGCTAAAACTAAGCTTCAATGGACCTTGAAATTGTATAAGCTACAGTTTTTTCTCTGGGCTGATGTATTAGGCAGCTTTTAAACTCACCGTGGATATCTTTCTGAGCGATATTTTGGGTCCGTATGAGCGAAGACAGGCGTCGTACATCTCCTTTAAACACACATTCGTGCACCGGGAAGTCCTGCCCTGTTCGGATGATGGGGTTTTTGTTGTTGTCATCGATAACATCTGATGTTGACAGCGTGTTGCTGTTAGCGTTGGTCTGCGACTCTTGGCTCTGCTGTTGCTGCTGCTGACTGGACGGAGACTTGATTAACTTGTGATTGCTGAAAATTTTACTCGCCCTGCTCTTGTTGCTCCCCTTGGAGGCGGTAAAAGTCCCGGTCGCAACCTCCTCGTCCGGCTCCAGTAAGTCCTCGTCCTTGCTCGGCCTGTGGTCCTTACGCAGGGAGCGAATCTTCTCTCCGGTCATTTTTCTAAAACGGTTGACGCTAACGGAGAGCAGAGGGTGTCGTCGCTGACGCTGTCCCTCCGGGCGAACTGATGCGATTCGCCAGTTGGAGGTCTTCACGCAAACACTGGAAATTGCAGAACATTTAATTGAACACTTGCTTATTCGGCCCACATGGTGAAACGTTTGTCGGTTCGAAGGTGAGCAAGCGAGCAGTTTCAGTTCCACGGTGTATAATGAAAACAAACTGTCCGCTCCGCTCCAGCTGCCCTAAACTGCCGTTGCCGTACCACACAAGCGGCTCCAGTTTACTAGTACGAAGATTCGGCGGCTGTCTTCCGCCTCAGAGTATCGCGATAGTTTAAGAAAGGTTACCAACGGTCACAAACCGAAGGCGCCACTGCTCCACTTGAATAAATAAAATGATTGAAGTGTATTTAAATTACTGAATTTAAGTACACATCCAGTATTCAATAAAGATAATTATATTAAAGTTTTAATTTAAATAGGAATTCTTTTTGTTTTACAACTAGCAAACGAACTCACCCAACAGCAAAGATATCTGCTGCTCCTGTTGACACAAGCACAACAATTTGGACATAGCTTTTTCATATTTTTGCTAACCACCTTATTTTGCATGACTTGAGTTTCATCTTGACCCAGTGGAGCTTAACAACTGAAAAGGGTTATTTTGACTGAGAGATACCGATAGGAAGGTCTCAACAATGCAAATGTTTTTCATGAAATGTGATAAACCCTTGTGGTGGATAAACTCCACGTTGGCACCTGAGATAGCGTCAGCTGTTGACCTTCAGCCCTCCCTATGCACTTTCTTGCGTATTTCTCACGAAAATCCTACTTGCAAACAAAATGATCCAGTCTTTATTCCACGTGACATTCTATCCACTGCAGTTGCATAATATTTCTTGGTATTTAATGCAGAGACAGAGAGAGAGAGAGAGAGAGAGAGAGAGAGAGAGGGAGGCTTAATGAAAGACATTCATATATGATCGGACCATGAAATTACTCATTTTAAAACAAAGAACACTTGGTTTAAACATTCTTTATTGAATTAATACGTTTTTTTGTTTATCTGTATTTTACTTTTTTTTTCTATCTTTCATGAAGGTGTCGCTCATCTAACTACTTGATATTCTGGTGGTAGATTTTAACCTGCCAAAAGCCACATGCATGGTTGGTGGAAATGTTTTCATAAAATACATACACAATACTACACATGTTGGACTTATAACATATCTAACTTAAGATAAGCCATTAGTTGGAGTAAAAAGGACACCAATTCAAATAGCATTAACTACTAAAAAGGATGGTTATACATGTTGGTTTTTTAAAAGAAAACATATACAGCCTCAAACTATGCTGCACACCTTGAAAAATAGTAATATTCTGTGCTTTAATGTTTATTTTTCGTAAATCGTTCATGATCGTCCTCGGCTGTTGGGAATTTTTAATCTATTTATGGTCAATCTATACTTTTGTGTGCATATTTTTGGAAAATACTTTGTAAAAAGACACCACCGTTTAAAAATAATTGAAGCTTTAGGCCCCTTTAAATTCCATGCTAAATAAAGCAATTCTAACTTCGGTCGTATATAATAGCCCGTATTCACGTGCTGTCAAGAAATCGAAGGGCCCCGTTCTCCCCTAGTGGAGGAGGAATAGAAACACATCAGGACCTCCCCGATGAGCGTCTGTCGACTGGAACAAATACACGCTCACAATCTACTAAAGCTAAAACCACGATCGTGGTGGGTTAAGGACAGCTTAAGTTCGAGTCTTTCTTCTTGATGAAACATCCCATTTCAATGTGGCCTCTACACTTTCTTCGGTTTAAACAAAAACTAGTATCTGACTTAAAGCGAAGGATTGTGGAGTTTCGACCCGAGACTTACTTATCTAAACTTGAAATAATAACTGAAATGTTGTTTTATGTAGGAATATAAAAAATAAAATATTTAAATGACACGGAAACTCCAACTCGAACAAGAAGAAACGTTGCATCATTATCAAGACGTGAGATAGCGTATAACGTGGTGTCGTAATAGGGGCCGGACGCCTCCCGCGCGACAGCCAATCAGCACGACCCTGTCCGTGTTGATGTCCGCTGATTGGCTCAGCCGCACTCGCCTACGAACGGCCCCAGTAAATGGTATTTCCCCTCAGCGTTTAACAGTAATGTATACTGGCTCAGGGTACACTGTGGTCTGGGAAATTGAGTGAACGTACAGACATGGCTCAGACGAACAAACGAGATGAGCAGAGCGACGTGTTCGCCGGCTTTCGCTCGACTTTTAAGTCTTTCGCCACAGAAGCCATACATGTCGGTCAGGAGCCGGAACAATGGACATCTATGGCAGTTGTACCGCCGATATCTTTGTCCACTACTTTCAAGCAGCAATCACCAGGAAACCACGCCGTAAGTAGCCTGATATGACTCGGTTATTTAAGGCGGGGGTGAGGGGGGATTGCTGCTTGAAAGTAGGCGGCTAAGATGCACGTGGAAGACACGGGCTTCGAAATAAATTTTGATATTTCATGGATACTGTTTGGAGGAATGTTACACGTCAAATATGTTTCGAAAGTCAATTACCCCATATCCGGATGTGAAATAAACCCGTGAACCGTGATCCGGATGCGTATTTATTAATGCAACAGGAAGACCTTTCAGTAATGTTTTACCACAAATTCCATTGTCTTATATTACCACAAATCCATCATCTTATACAATAAATAGAGACAGATGAGTAAACTGAAGGAACACAATCACCGTTTACTAAACTCAAAGATTAGGGTGTTATAAAAGGTGGCATTTTCTATTGTGTAAGAAATCAATCATGACAAAGACTGTGAATCTGCTCTTCAGGCATTAGTAATATAAGGTATTTCATGAAATGCCATAGAAAATGTTAGAACTAACTATAGTGATTTTCCTCAAATGTTAAATTAGATTTTAAAAAATGTGACTTTCCTCCCGAGAAGTTAACCAAATTGAAGTCAATGTAACCAGCCTGACTTTGTTGTTTCTTTTCTCCCTCTGTCTCAGAGTTCAGACGGAAAATGTAAAAATACTCAGTATCACCATGTTCCTGCAGTTAGAACAGTACACGGTTTTTCAAGGTACTTCCTGTAAATGATTATAGGGTTGGTTATTCACAAGTCGGTTTTAGGATTGCAGGTTGTGGATTACCCTGGCAAACAGACACAAGATAGCACATCATATGAGCTTTCAAGGTCAGAGGTAATTTAGGTTTTTAGTTCGCTGTTGCAAATGTTTCCCAGGTACATCCGTGGCTGCTTTTAATTCGATGGATGTGAAACATCGTGTTAAAACCTGGTCTCATCATCTGTCAATATGACTGGATGGTTTGTGGTAAAACAAGTCTGGAAAAGGAATAGTAAGGCCATATCTTTTTAAAGCAAGGATATCAAACTTTGGCCCCCAAGGGCCACTGTCAGGCTGGTTTTAGAAGTTTTTCTACTCCAACACACCTGACAATGGATCTATTTAAATAAACGTGAAGTTTACCTCTGTAAATGTACACTTAATTTAAAGTAATGGTTTATAGCCATTTGAGGTCAATGTATTCCTAAGAGGGAAAATACTCCTGGAAAAGTTTTATGTAAGGACACATTCTTTTGGTCATTTTGGTGGTTTAGTTTTAAAAAAGTGCTAAGTTTGTATTGTTTTGGGGCCTTCTGTCTGTTTGACTGATCTTAAATGCCATGTTTATTGTACAGGGTTTTGAATACAGCCGAAGTGGAAACCCTACCAGAAACTGTCTGGAGAAAGCCGTGGCAGCCCTGGACGGCGCAAAGTACTGTAAGGAACCTTAACATGTTAACGTGAAAGAGTTTATCGGCATGGCAAAGGGCCGCTTTCATTTCCTCTGACACAGTGGGATGAATCAGGACTTTATGGCTTGTTTTTCTCCCTTCAGGCCTCGCTGTTGCCTCAGGACTGGCCGCCACGGTGACCATCACTCACCTGCTGAAGGCAGGCGACGGGATCGTTTGCATGGATGATGTGTATGGAGGTGGGACGCCCATTTTGCAAATCCATTATCTGTCATGGCACAAACTTTGTGTCTTGTGGTAAGAGAGCGCATTGCTTTCATGTTCGTAAGTGCTAACAGAGTCTCCCTCTCATTTTCAAGGCACAAACCGCTACTTCCAAAGGATCGCAACTGAATTTGCCCTGGACATATCATTGGCTGACTGTACTAAACCAGAGCTGCTCAAGGCTGCTCTCAAACCTAATACTAAAGTGAGTTCATGGAATGCTTCTGTTGTTGCTGGGTTTTTCTGTCATAATCTGTGGTCTTGGGTGTGAAAGAGTGTTTTTTTTTGTTTGCGGTGCTGACTCAGAGCAACAGCTGAACACTAGTTTGCTTCACTCACCTTACAGGTGCGGCTTTAATGAAATTACCGATAAGCTCTTTTTTTTTATCTCGCAGCTGGTGTGGATCGAGACGCCGACCAATCCCACCATGAAGGTTGTTGACATCAGAGCCTGTTCTGATTTGGTGCACGAGCACTCTAAAGACATAGTGGTGGTCGTGGACAACACCTTCATGTCTGCTTATTTCCAGGTGAAGTGGACAGATGTGCATTTCACGCTCGTTTGGTTTTGAAACGGCAAATGATAGAATCATTACCTCCAATAGAATCCCAGTTCATGTGGAAAAGACTTGTGGAATAATTAACTCCCATGTTTGTCTTGTGCACCCGTAGCGCCCCTTGGCTTTGGGAGCTGATATCTGCATGTACTCAGCCACCAAATACATGAACGGTAGGTTATACACGTTGAGTTATTTTTACTAGGATTGCATTATCATCAAAATGTGTCAGAATGGGGATTTTTAATTAATATTTTTTATCTTTGTAAATCAAATTAACTTCAAAATGTAGAAATCTAGATATAATTTTTTTTAACCTACACATAAAATAAATATTCATAGGAAAACATTATACAGGGTGAGTCAAAAGTCACAGGAAACTCTTTTATTTCAGAAACAAAAGTGAAGATGACATATCTAAATACCACAACAAGTAATTCACAATGGGCATATCTTTTAGCCAATGGCTGGAAATTAATCATTTTGAAACCTGCCATATTTGATCGAGGGTAACTTTTTCCAATTGAAACGTAGTCATATAGCATATTAAAGATGGCTGAAATTTTGTGAGACATCAATTTGCAATATCACTTTTGGTTAAATATGGTGTTCTGGTGCTAAAGCTGTGCCCCACAGGCAACGTTGACAGTTGTTTTTATAACTTTCTGTATTGCTAATCTTTCAAATCACAAGAGTTATAGCAAAACTGATTGCAGCAATCAGACAGTTACCAAGACCAAAATAATCAACCCAAAAAGAGACATTCATAGAGATTGCTGGCTAGCAACCAGCTAATCAGGGCAGATATATTTATATCTTTTTTAAACTATTAAACTACTAAATCTATTAGATTCCGATAATTACTGGGGGTTTTATATGTAGGAGTTTTAAAAAATGTGGGTCCTCTTTAAAACAGAAATGTTGTGCTGATTGTGGATGGTTTCTAGTGGAAATGTATGCTTTAGATGTGGTCTGTTTTGACATTCCTGTCATGTTTTTGACAGGGCACAGCGATGTGGTGATGGGTCTGATCTCAACAAACAGGGACGATCTGCACGAGCGACTGAAGTTTCTGCAGAACGGTGAGTTGCATGCTGTTAGCTTTATGTTACACGCGGCTGTATTTGCATTCATACCATTTACCCGGATTTAGCTGGAATCAAATGAGTGTAAATTGAAAAGTTGACTAAAAGTGTTAGACATCCTTCAAAGTGCTGACCTACATTTGGTCAGTAAACAACCAACTGGGGCTAAAGTACTGAAGCAATTTAAACCTTCTCAGCCCGGTTGTTCATTATTTTCTTTTGTTTGCCTGATCTGGATTTTAGGAGGCTTTGTGTGCAACGTCTTTGTTTTGTGTTTTGCTTTGTGTTTTTTGCACGCGGTCCCTGCCCCGTGTCCAGCGTTGGGTGGTGTGCCGTCCCCCTTCGACTGCTTCCTGTGTAACCGCGGGCTGAAGACGCTACACCTCCGCATGGAGCGGCACTTCAAGAACGCCATGGCCGCCGCGAAGTTTCTCGAGGCCGATCCCAGGGTGGAGCGCGTCATCTTCCCAGGTGACAGGTTGATTTTAATCCCTTTCACTCGTCAGGTGAAACCCAAGTACTGTTAAGACATAACTAATCCCTCAGTTGGTATCACTTGGACAAACCCGACCCAGCACAGTGCCAACACCGGTCCGTCTCCTTGCCAGAGGATGTCTGACGAAGGATTCTGACTTTTGGTTCTAACAAGTCTCAACAGAGGCGTTTTCAAAAGAATATGGGCAAGTTCGCATAAGTCAGGGATCAAGAGCAAACCCTTTATCTTTTCATGTGCAACGTGTTAACCTTTAACCGAGGAGAATGGATTAATCAGCAGCCCTCTCCATTTTACTCCGATGTTCTTGCCAGTAAAAAAGACTGTGACCTTTCTCCTCTTTAATCTCGCCGCACCACTGTAGATATGCTAATTTTTCACAACTTCCAGCTCTCCGATAACAGCGAGGCCATCCTGTAATGTCTATTGAATCATTCATCTTCATCCAAGTTAGGTTTTTTTTTTTCAGGGGCATCTGGAGTTCAGTCCATAAACTCCAAATTTATTAATGATATGATAATGGTTATAATGGTATGACGTAAATGGTTTGAGTGACCAAGATAAAGAAAATGAATCTCAACAAGTGGAATAACAATATTAGGATTGGTTTGCGTTTATGGGACCATGGTTTAGGATTGTGTGCTGATGCCTTTTAAGTGGAGAAGCCTGTGCGTAAATAGAACGACAGAACAGGAGATGAACAAACAGTTCCGTGGTAGCTTCTACATTGATGTTTGTGCTTCTTTGGTAAAGAGAAAGCTTTGCCAAAAGGTGGTCAGGCAAAGGGTGCAAACAAACACCGTCTGGGTTGTGTAAGAGTTCGGCTTTGTAGGCACACAAAGAAAAAGCAGTTCAGCGTTTTTGTGTAACAAGAGAAATAAAACCCGCGTCAGTCCAAAGGAGACAAGACTTTTTTAAATGCACGTAAACAAGTCAGTCTGCCTGAAAACCCATTCACTCAGATAATCCTGCTGAGGATCATATTACCCTCACAGTCAGATTCAAACAGACAGAGGAGCTCCACACATTTCTAAAATCACTATATCAAAACAGTAAACTAAATCTGTGTCAGATCGGCCCAAATGCTACGTTTGATTTCCATCTAAACTGTTCCTGAGCTAAACACGTGGGAAAAGCACAAAGACGACCGTTGAACTAAATCCATGAATCGCGTGCCTCCTTTTTTTTTATCTGTTCTGAAGGTGAGGGGATAAAGCTGACTGGTTTTTCATGTTTTTTCCTCTTTCCACGCAGGCCTGCCCTCTCACCCGCAGTACGAGGTGGTGAAGAGACAATGCACCGGCTGCCCAGGAATGATCACCTTCTACATAAAGGGCAAACTGGAGCATGCCACCGCCTTCCTCAGCAACCTCAAAGTAATTTGACAGATAACTCTAAAGCACTTTAAAGCTTTAGCATAGAATTGAAATCCCATTCCGGTCATTTTTCTATAGACCTCAGACTGAGAGTTGAGACAATATTCCTCTGAGTGTTATTGCCTCAAAGCTTAAGTAATTGTTAGAGGGGGAATAGTTTCTGATGATATGTTTTCACAATTATTTGAATAATTTAGATATGAGTATTCGATTTAGTCGAAGCAGATTTACATATTTCCATTGATTGAGGAGTTTGTGGTTTGTGTTGTTGAGCGCACACGATTTCTGCTTTTTTTCCCCTTGTTTCAGATGTTTGCTGTGGCAGAGAGTCTCGGTGGTTATGAGAGTTTAGCAGAACACCCGTGAGTATTCTCTGTTGAAAGCGACTGCTTCCCCGGAACAGGTGCTTTTTGCAGCGTGTCGTTGCACCACTAAAACTTGTCATTGTTGAACATGTGGAGCCACAAGAGGGCAGCAAAGATCAAGATGAAATCTCTCTTTGACGCCCGCTAACTGGCTTTGATATTTACACTTTACTAACCTAAACCACAGAACCTATGCTCTGTGTGCCACTTGTGCTTTCAGTAAGTAGGCCTGTTCTCTGTCACACTTTAGGGCGATTATGACCCATGCGTCAGTGCCAGAAAAAGAGAGGGCTGTTCTGGGCATCAGTGACACACTGATTCGCCTCTCTGTTGGAATAGAGGATGAGGAAGACATCATTGAAGACCTGGACCAGGCACTGAATGCTGCTGTGAGTATCCCACATGCGCAGAGCTCTGAGAAATCCTTTGTCTTAGCTTCAAATGGCCATCTTGAAGGAAAGTGTAGCTTTTCTGTCTTAATTTTTGTTTTGGATGTTTGCAATGAATGATAGACCTTAGCATCTGAAGTGACTGTGATTCAATGTAAAGTTAAGTTAACTGGAATAATTTATTCAGCAGGAAATATAGAATTAAAATGGATAAGTCTTATTTCCTTCTGAGACATTTTTTAAAGTGTATGGCTCACAGTTTAGTTGACCTTTCTGGTGAAAAGACAGGCAGATGTTTAAATAAAGACAAATACGGTCTGGGATGTGGTGGGTATATCTTGAAAACGTTATAGGGAGCCAGGCCAGGAAGGGCTGCAGGCCAGGAGTGAGTTAGGTGTGCACATAAACCCCCTCTTTTTGCTGCAGTAGCAGATTCATCATACTCTGTATCTGCGCTGGAGTCAGAGCAGTGCTGGGCTCAGGCAATCTTCTTCCATTTGCACTTGCTCAGCACATCCATGATAATATGAAATCGCTTGTAGCAGACCTTTTTGTTTTACACTTAAAGTTTGAACAAATGTTTCAAACAACACAAACACACATGCTCAGAAAAAAAAATCTGTGGGTGATTTATTAACCGGTTGTTCTATCACACGCCGTGGGAATAATTCAGTAATACACAGTGTCCCTGCTCCTGAGACAAACAGATGGCTGATTTCCTCCTTCAGAGCTGATTTTTAGTTTTTGTTGTTTTGAACGCCACCATGCAGCGCAGCAAGCTTGTCTGGACATCTGAATCTTTATCACTTCTCTCCCAGTGGCTGGTGTCGACACTTGAGCTTTTACTGCATTTCTGCCTTAGTCCAGTTCTGCCATGAGGTTCAATCATGCTGATTCCTAGACCGAATCATATCCTGATTTTCTTGTGAAATTATTAATGCATTTTAGAGGCCTTTTTTGTCTTACAAAAAAGGCTAACCCTATTATTGATGGAACTCTGTTTAGCTTAGCTTTAATGGGCTGCTATTGGATGATTTACCTCTCATTCCCAACTACTGATGGCACTCTTATCAGGTGGAATTCAAATTTCCTAAAACGTGCCCCCATTCAGTGCCTCCTCTCCTCAGCATTTAGATAATGTCTCTGTATCCCTACTGCTGCCCATCTGCAGCAAATAGAAGTTAAATGGAGACAGATATCTCTAATGACTGTCCGTGCTCCCAGGAAAATGCACCTCTCATTGGAGGAGCTTTTAATCAAATAGGACGGCAGGTCAAGTGTAGCCTCATTTAAGAGTTATTTTTGATTAAAAAAACCTTGGCTGTTTTAATTTGGACCTCTCCATACTGTTGGAGAAGTCTCATCAAGAGAAGGTTGGTGGATTTATAGATTAAGATGTATTTTTCTGCTCTGGTTATAAATGATTGTAGGCTGTTAGCCCTATGACCGTGTCTGTCTGCAGCTTCCTGGATGCAACTAGGATGGATCTGACTGGTTATGTGTGTTCTTTTCTTGTTTTCTTTGCAGCATCCAAAGAAGAATTGAAATTGTTGCCGGAGCATCATGGTGGCTGAGGTCATTATGAAGACGCGACCGAAGATCAAAATGTGGCGCCTCGTTTCAGCTGAAGGCACCTTTGCGGGAACAGTTGTTTCTGGCAAACAATCCGAATCACGCTACCTGTGAATGATTAACACAATTTTACATTAGAATCTTTTAAATGCCTTTACAAGAGCACCACATGTAATCTTATTTATCTGATGATGGTTTTGCTTTGTTTACATGTTTGTTTCTGTTTTAAGTTTCCCTGATTTTTAAAAAAAGGTTTTATTAGGGAGATTTCCTTTTAGAGTCCTTGAAAGGGAAAAGGGATATGAAAGAAACTAACCTTGCTCTAACTCTGCAGATCTCCATATTTACTAGTTATGTTGTAATACCCAGCTGTAAAACGGCCTTTAGTGATGCAAAACTCATGCTGAGCTCCTGCTGCCATCTGCTGATCAAAAGTCAGAGAAAAGTCAGGACAACAACGGTTCCGATCTCTTTGGTTAACTATCATCCTACACACAAGAAAAACAAAAATTCTGTTTTGTTTGGCTCAAACTTTGTGCGTCTTCATGCTTGCTTTTCCAAAGGAAAAATGCCTCAGGCTAATTAAGCAAAACACTGTGGGAGGACTTAGTGTGCACATGCGGGATTGAGCGCGGTTCCTCAGTGGAGATGCTATAAAGGGATTTTTATATCAACAACCACAGGTTGTTCCAGAAGTATTTATCTGAGGAAGGCTTGAAGAAATACATGTGTGTTCTCGAAGTTAGGATTTTGGCCAATGAGGAAAGCAAAATTTTCTCCTAGGTCAGGACTCTCATTAGGTTTTTATCTGCTTATCAATGTTGTTATTGGCAAATCCATTAAATTCTGTTTGCAGTACAAGTCTTTGGCCCTCTGTCTTCTTCTCATCGGTCTAGGAGCTGATACTCCACATTTGGTTAAGGCTGATTAATCAGATCAGATACTGGGCTTCTCAGTGACCAAGTCATCAATCAATTCCAACTGAAACTTCAAGTTCTGCTTTAAGAAGATCAGTTTTACGCTTAGATGTTCAGATTCTGTTTGACTTTGTTTATCCGTAACTCATGAGGGTATAATGGATTTATTTTCCTCCTGCCACTTCTCAGCCTGACCAGTGCTGCTAGGTGTTCAAATGTGAAGGATGGTGTGGTCAGAATAGGCACTAGGACTGTGAGAGGTGCTCACAACACTTAAGGCCTAATAGCACTTTGGTCATGAGCGAATGTCCAAATGTTCCCGGAAGACATCAGCCCTCAGCCTTCAACCCTTCCAACTCAACCAGATCCTCTTTTGGAGAATTCATCTATCAGATTAGACTTGAACATAGAAGAAAAAACATAGATAACTTTTTTTTTTTGTCTGCATTTTAAGATATGACTAAGTGCATCGACTCAGAATAACAAAGGTTTCACCAGATTAAAGTTGCTGTAGGAAAATACTGCACGTAGTGCAAATCTTCACTATAAACATGAAGTGTTTATTTTATGGTTCTTAATGTGAGCTGGCCACCCACTAACCCCTTACTGAAAGCCATCTGCATTTTGTCTCCTCTGTAGTCAGAAATGACGTTCATTTACACGCATCTGAAGATAAAAGATGTTGAGTTCAGAGAACAACTTGCTTGGAGACTCCACTAAAAGGACCCGTGGTTTGAAATAGCAATTTTGGTTCCCACAAATCATCTTGACTGCTTGGACATTGTGAGGAAGTTTTGATTGTCTGTCGGTTTACTATCATTAAAAGATTTAAACAGATTAAACTTGTTAAAGCCTGTTCTTTTCATCCTCAAACCTACAACATTTGCAGTTTAAGCCATGAAAACACACTGCATTGTGTTTACATGCAGTCATGTTTAACAGTTTAATGCATTTTGTAGTTTGACCTGTAGAATTCTTAACCGAGTTAACTCTGATGACTCAGTTTTACATTTAGGGCTAGAGACAGGGAAAAACGTATGCATGTTTTAGAATTTTGATTTAAAGCAGCCATTATTTCCCCAGTATTTAATGGTGAAAACTGCCAAACCTATCATACGAGTCAAGGATGAGGCCTGATGGGAAAAAAGGCGACAACATTTCATTGATTGGATTTTACCATCAGAGACCTTACTATTAAATGTTAAAACAGTCTGAGAAATGCTTACATTCTCTAGTTCTGTGAACCCACCGACCATCATTGCAGCTTTTTTAAGTCCTTCCATAAATATTCAACGTCAGTTGTCTGATTTTCAAGATTTTGAGGGAAAGTTTTTGTGGCATGCAAAACCTTGGACATTTTTGTTAAATGTCCCCTTAATATTAGAAGACAAAATGTTCTGTCGAACAATCTGTTTTGTTCTATCCTGACTTCCTTTTGCAGTCCAGTAAAAGCATGTTCTAAATTTACACCAAGAGTAAGTGTTAACATGCAGAGTTTGTCTTGTTTTGACTGTTCACTGACTGATTCACTTACTTTCCCAGCTTGCTTATGCCACCTTTTACTTTGCATAATTTTTCTCCTAGTTTTGATGTTCTTAAATTGAGAGTACTGTGGGATTACCAGTCATTCTCAGACAAATGCTTTGTCTACTTACTTTATTTCATTTAACATGCTCATTTTGGGACTTGCCCTAAACTGAATTAAACAGGTTTCAGAAAGTGTATTAGATTCAGTGTCTTAGACAATCTTTCCTGAGATTTCCGACGTCTTAGCTTGTGAACGCTATCTTTGAAATCATGTAGGAAAAATTTGCAAAATTGAAACCTTCATAAATATTTTTACAACTAAAAACCAAAAATGTCCCATTAGTATAAAACTGAAATGAATGTAGCAGAAGGATTTAAAAGGTGGGATGGGATTTTCAGCCGTTTTTTCCTCAGTTTGTAATAAATAAAAGAGTAGAAGTCAAGTTGAGGCAGAGAAATTGTGAGAACTGCTTTTTTTAATAAATCTGTTTATCACATCTGTTTCGATTTATTTTTTCGAGAGCATTTAACAGACTTTGGAGAGGTGGTATACTATTTACATTGACTGTACTGCAAGCGAGCTAGTATGTCTTTTCAAGAAGAGTGATAATAGAAAATAAATTTAAAAAAACAATCTTTTCAAGTCAAATGCATTTAGTCCTGGACACTTACTATGAATAGGATGTGCACATTTTTTACCTCCATCAATAAGATGAGTATGACGCTGAATTGTTCGCCTTTAACAGCCGTTTGGTAAATTTACTGGTAATATATGCCGAAAAGGATGAAGGAGAAATTGTCTGTGGCCACCACCTGCAGGACCATTCAGTTGAAAGGGGCTGTCTTGTTAGTTGCCTCATTTCCACCTGTTGTTTGTTCCATTTGTACAACAGCAGGTGAAATTGATTCCCAATCAGTGTTCCTTCCTAACTGGACAGATTGATATCCCACAAGTGTGACTGTTTTCAGTTTACAAGCTAATGATTATGAGTTCCGTTCATTATTTTCGAGCCGCGTTTAAAGCTCAGTCTTTGCACAAAGAAAACGACTGCAGGACATTTCAACTAGCAGCTGATGCAGTTGTGTTAACGCAGAAAACATCTTTGTTGGTTGGACTTATTGTATTCAAGGGGATTATCTCTGCTGTGGATGTATCATAGGAGCAGCTGTCTGCCTGGAGGTGTTATCTCTAAGTGTCCTGTAACGCTCAACAGATGTTAGAGAGGAGATCAAGGGTACAATGGATCCTGTAGATGTCTTCCCGGCAGAGAAAATGGAAGTCCCTCCCCCACGAATGGTTTCCAGATTATCACGCGGAAAAGCAGAGGGCGATAATAGGATCTATGACTGACCTATATGGGTTCACCACCAATTGTGGAATTTGAGCTCTTCTGAAACAACTCAGGGATAGGAGCCTCTGAAGCCGAGTCTTTGCCATAACAGTGGTGATGATGGGCCTCTTCAAGCCCTAGGTGATACGATGACTTATACAACCCCCACTTGCTAGCCACTTATGGGAAAATTAATCATCTTATTTGTAGGCATTGAGGATAAAAATGTTCTTGAGCTTCGTCTCTCCAGGTTCTCAAGGAGACTCACTGTTATCATCGAGTCCTCTCACAGAAATGAAGCCACAGAGGAAACTTGACAATGGTACTGGTCTGCGTAGGGAGTTCTACAGTTGTGAGTGTAGAAGGAGACAAAGGAGGACTCAGATGAGGCCCGGCTTATTAAGGGTGATTTTATAAAAAGTGGAGAAGAAATCAATTTGGTTTGAGAGTATTTTACAGAATTTACGATGGCTTTAAAGCACCTGTTAATATAAGAGGTGGCAACAGATAGCTGGCATGAGGAACGTTAATTGCAAATGTGTTTAGGGACTCTGGAAGCACTTGAAATGATATCTCGATAAGGTTCATAAAGTGAAAACTAAAAGGGATGACAAATGGTGCCAATACACTGCCATAAACTTAGACTTGAAATGTTAGTTTGCTCTAAATTGAATCCATTACAAGAATTTACTATACAGTCTGACTTAATGCACCCAGCGTTTCATGATGTCTTATAGCATAAAGGGTACTATTTTGCCCTCCAACAGAAATAAAAGAAATTGCAGGACATGCTGGTTATTTATTACACTCTTATAGTGTGACAGAGCAATTTGTTAAACAAATCATCTATAAATTTGCTTTCTCATGCCCAGAGCAAGTACTCTTTCTGCTACGCCAGAGTATCGACCGGAGAATAAGGAGCCCTCTTAATGGCATAGTAAATTGGTGATGTCAGATGTCAAGAATGCAAATTCAGCATCTAGAGGGTTGATCCTCCTTAGCTGGAAGACAGTGCTCTTCAGTTAGTGCAGCCACAAGTTAAAATAGCTCTTTGTGCAAAAGAAATCAATCAAAATCTTAAGTGGATGGGTAAAAGTGGAGCACAAATCAAATTGAATATTTTTCCCTGCTGAGGCAACGTGTGCCGCGTTTCACACAACGATTTCAAGTAGGCACCAACCTCTTTTACAAGTTATCTTCTGTGAAACAAATTTCTTCCACAGAGAAACTGAAATCAAATTGAGGTTTTTGCCATGCAGCGAAATACATGTTCTCTTTACTGGATTATTTCTTGTACTTGCGCTACAGTTTTCCATCTAGTAATTCCATGTTCTTCTCAGCTGTTTGTTAGCATTCACGTCAGCCATTGTAGCCGGTCGATTCTGTGTCCATGGAGCCGAGCATAGGGCACCACCACAAAATTAATGAACTGTGGCATGTTTGTTCCCCATCTCAGGTCTCCTTTTACTTGGAGACAATTTGGAGCCATACAGCAGTTTGGTTTAATATGAACGATTGATTTCTGATGTACATTGAAGCAGAATATATGACAACTCTAGATTTGTATAAGATTAATATGAAAACATATCCTACAGAATTTCAGATGATACAACTCCACTGACTACCGCGTTTTTTAAAAGGACCTTATCACTAATATTCGCTCTATACTAAATTTATTTTAAGTATTCACCTTTTGGTTGCTGACTTAGCTTTTACCAGCTTAAAAGAGCATGACACTGTAATATCTCTTCCATTTTTCAGCCCACTTACATCTTTTGTAGCAGGGATTTAAAATTTCGATTGCAAGATTTATTTATCTATTTTTAATGGCCCGGATAAGACTCTCAATATCTGACAAACCCGGGAGAATATGTGATAGCACTGTATTCTTATGTTATCTTCAATCATCACCCAGTTCCATACAGTACCTGCAATATCAGCAAATGGACGCTACTTTTAAGATAAGCTCAGGAAACAATAATGGTTGCATGGTTGCAGTCAGAACTCTGCTTCCTGTCATATAGACAGCCACTCATGTAGCAACATCCATCCACATTAGTTTATTCCTTGCAGGGTCACGGGGAGGGGGGGCTGGGACCTCTTCTAGCTGACTTTGGACTTTGGACAGGCCTGGACATCAAAAGGCCACACAGAGACAAGCAACAACAACCACTCACATTTAAAACTATAGGCAACTTTCTGTTCTTTTGTTGAGGGACTAAACATGTATTTGGGTTCAGATTCACATTTTACTGTGCACGTTTTACTTTTGCTGTTGCACCCAACACTTTTTTATGCTTAATTGCATTATTCATTTAAAGTTTCTTCTCTGTTGACAGTCTGTGTAACTGTCAAAATGAATGTGTTTTGATACTGAAAAATGTACTCACTTTATACTCCACTGTTTTTATTCTTAAATTTTGAGCAATGTTTATAGATTAAATATATTTTTTTAAAAGATGCATGATGAAGGCTCACTTTAAAAAAAAAAGTTTTTCTCTTTAGTGAAGTGAGGTGAAGAAATGAGTGAGAAATCACTCATTTCTGATTTACAGCCATGTCAATTCTCCTGCTCTCCACATCCTGCTTCAACCACTTTTTTCTGTTCCTTTCCTTTGAGGTGTGATTTAATGTTATTCCCTTTGATGTTTTTTTCCCCCGTATGTCTCAGACCTTTTTCACTCAAATATCACACCTTTTGTTTCTCTTGGGTTTAAATCATGGTGATGAGTGTCTGGACTTATACACATCTTTTATGGAGACCTAACCTGTCAAAGGAGGCTACAGAGGAGGGGGGGGTATCAGCCATCAGCTGACGGGAATGTGACAGGCCAGAGTGTGATGGCTGGTTTGCTGCTCATCTGCCACGTTCGATGTTTCATTTAGTAAACAAGCCTCTCCGTGGCTTTCAGATATTGCACTGGTTCAATATCCAAACCCATGTTGTAAAACCAATTACTAAAGGACACAATACAACACTGTAGGAGATGGAAATTT